GCAACCAAGCCAACCAAGACAACCAGCGACCCAGTGCCCAAGCGCCCAAGTTGAAAATATATGCGGGTCTAATAAAAATAAATGCTCACTTCTTTGCCATAAAGCAGGGCCAAGCCTGCCAAGACATAAAAATTAGTCAGCACCAGCGTCAGAGTCGAGCACTGAACCAATGTCTTATCTTATCGGCTCGAGTATATCACGAACATATGTATTATGCCTGTGCCCGGCATACAAAACCGACATCGACACTGGCGAGGTGGAGGTGGAGAGGTAGTGAGGTGCCTTCATTGCCTGAATTTCTACTATCTTTCGACTAAAGTTTAAGGAACGCCAGTATCGATGGCGTGGGCAACAATAAACTTGCAGCGCCTCCTCCTGCTGCTGGTGCTGCTCCTTCACTGCCACCCATTCAGTCAATTTATTGCAATTATGTGTAAATTAGAGAACAAGAGCGGGTATCTGTGCAGATGGCTGGGGCTAGCGACATGCGACAAGCGACGCAATGCACTTGCCACAAAAGAATGAATTATATCAAGAGGTTGGGGGCAATTTCTGTGGCAGAGGCAAACATACAAGTAGACGCAAACGGAAAAGCAAATATAAATACAAATACCAACACAAATCGGTAAAATATGTACATTATTCACAAAGTTGTTTGGGTTGGATGCTACCTTCATTGAAATTCATGTGGAGCCAAAGTGCAGGGTCTCCTGCAGCGCTCCTCAACTACTGGCCTCCCTCGGAGGGCAATTGGGGCTACGAAAAATGACTGCCTCGGTTCTTCCAATTTAATTAAATGTTTTAATGCATGACAGCACCGCAATACAGCATGACTTCGAGGCTGATGTCGATGGAGATGACTATGACGAGGTCGTTGGGTGTCCCTCCTGTCCTGTGCCACGCGTACATGTCCAATGTCCGTTAAAGACTTTTACGGTAACTGTGTTTTTAGAAAGGAGCCAGCTAGCTGGTCTACGAACACGCACACGCACACGTACAGGAACACGGAGGGACAGGATGCGGACACTATTATTGGCCAACACGATCCGGCTCTGAATTTGGCTGATAGATGGTCAAGCATCAAAATCAACTAATGGCCGTCAAAACGCTTTGGACTGTCCACTAAAGCGGCATAATAAAGGTCTCTCTTTCTCCACCTGTGGTCCTAAAAGAATGCTAGTTGAAAAGCTTTGGACAGGCACTACTTGCTTGGCCTTTTCATTATGTAATCCAATGGGCGAGTGTTTGGGAGTGTGGTGTGTGGTCCATGTTGTGTGTTGTTTGTTGTTTGTGCGCTCGGAAAATTAAGCCGCAGGCGGCAGGCAAGCGCCAGCTACAGCTCTGGGTTGACATAAAATATTTAACGCTGGCAAAGTTAGTGCCGCTTTGATTGATTTACAACGTAGTTTCGTCGCAATCAAAAACCACAAAATGCTTTTTGCCCATCACAGATGGGCAGCAACATATAAACCGACAATCCCAAACACAGCACACACACTACACCCACATATGTGAATATTTGCTATAATACACCATAATTGAGTTATGTTTCCTTTAAACAACCGACGAAAAGCAATTAATTTCACGTGTTTTCCCAGGTTCTATGTTTGTGTACAAATTGTTCAGAAATAATCATTCCGGCTCGGCGAACAGAATCTATCAATGCTTTTGGTGCACACATACATATATTTGTTGTTAAATATAGCCACGGCACATATTCCTAGAAGTCGCGTGAACATAGTCCCCTATAAAATTAGGTGATTAGTAATTAAATTGGATTAAGCTAAATGTGCTTAGAGAGAAAGTTCGAGACTACAATGTTTGTTTTAATAGCAGATTTCAAATAGCCATTCGAAGGTCGATGCTTCTGAAAATGTAGGACGCATATTCTCTATTTTCCACATTCATGATCGAAATTCGGTGCTCAAAGTAGAAACTTGTAGCCTTGTGTAAGTATGAAACACCCAGAAGGTAGAGACAAATCTAAATCGAAATGTCCATCGATCCATCTTTCAATAACTACCCCTCCCCTACGCAAGGTTAGCATTCAGTGCGCCGAAAAGACTTTTCCTTAACGCTTCGGGAAGCCTTAATAAAGGAATCCGAACTAAAATTTATTCAATGATCTACTTAGCTAATGAAAACGTACATTAATTGCTTTAGAAATGTTGACACCGCTGAAGAGAATATTTGTGTGGAGTACGCATCATCGCTGTCTTACAGTAATTACTAGATAAATGGAGGCCCAAACCAAATACTACTGTTCAATTAGTTGGTTGTCGTTAAGTGTTCGTTAGCTCTTCTGATGTTTAAAGCTGCTATTTTTACATTTTAGGGTTCATTCTCTTTAGATAGTTTAGCAAATATATATCCAATCATATCCTAATCAATTCGCTGGCTATTTTGTTTTCAATATTTATAATACCAGCAACTTCAAATGTAAAATTGAGTATACAGTGTTTTGTTATCCATTGTTTTAAGCTAGAATTTAGACAGGATTACTTAAAGGATCTGTAAAAATAAACGCTACGTTGCTGAACGGTCAGTCCCCCAGGAAAATTCTCTGTAAATGTCACTGTAACACAAGTTGGGGCTTCGCCCATCTCTAAAGTGAACGCCTTTTGCTGAACTGGCCCCACGGTCACGACTATTCCATGGGGCTTTGTTATTTGTAGAAATTTGTGTTAATCGCAAATGGGCGAACACCCGATCACATTGCTTAATTCCCACATGGCACTTCGATGCATTTCAAAATGTCAATCTATTGTCAATTATTGTGCGAGCAAAGCCAAGCAAATAATTGCAGGTGCGTGTAGTCAGCAGGTGCTTAACATATTTAAACGGCACTTGCACCATTGGACTAAGGATTCTGAGAAGAATAATTTTAAATCAAATGTATCGGAAAATGGGAACAACATTTTAAAAAATAAATAAGCATTTTAAAAATGATTGGAATTGAAATATTTTACTACTTAGTTCAGGCTTCTACAATATTTATAGGATCTGTGTGGCTTCCGCTTGGGTGTAACATAAAACGGAACTATGTAACAACTATCTCTTCGCCTGTAGGATAAACATAAGCAAACAAATAATTATTGGTGTCAACAATAAACTATTTTTAAGAGAAATATATGTATAAAAAAAACACACCTACAAAAAATATATATACAAACACTGTAGATTATTTCAAACAAGTTTCTAAAGTAAATCTGTAAAAAAATTTATAAAACACCTGTAGAAGAATTTATTTTTTTCATACTTGTATTTTATAAGTTTGAATAATATCCGTTCGAAGGCTTCAAATATAAATCAAATATATAACTTTAAAGCTGTGCAATGCGAGCCAATAACTCATTCTGAAATCAGTCTGAATATCGAATCGAATAAATTGAAGCTTCATTTGAAAACATTAAGTTAATTGCTTAGCATGTGTTGACAAAAGCCGTTGAATTCGTCTGGGAATGTCGGCTATCTTATCATAAAATTGTTTGGAAAGAAAGGAAAGGCGCAGAAGTAATGTGTACTCTTGTGCTATTCTAAATTTATTGCTAAGCCATATATAAACTGGAACATAAAGACATTCATTGAACTATGTAAGACATATGTCACTGGCTATTTTTTGTCTGGCATCTTAACTTTTAAGTTTAATAAAGGCTGTAAATTTAATCTTTAAATGGTTGTCATCATTTTTAAAATGTTTAAATGACATTCATGAACATAACAAGTTCAATCCTCATCCCTTACATTAACTATCAGATTGCAGTTATGTTGCTTTCTCAGTCTTGTTTGTTGTTCCATGCAGTCATTGCTCTGCAGGAACTGAAATAATTCATTGACTGAGCTGTGTGGCTTTCAGTGGCATATGCTGAGATTATTGGTGTTGAGAGAGGATGGGATTTTCTAATATCTCTTCATATTTTAAAAGTAATAGGCTTTATTTCAAAACATTATTCTTTAAATACTAAACAGCTGCTTACAGCTGGTGCTTTGTAAATAATACATCGTTTCGTTGCCTTACATTATTCACACAACTGTCCTTGAAATATATTTTATTTGCATTTCTACTCAGCGCGTATTTAGCTGTATAGACTTAGTCGATTCCCTGAAGGATTGCGACAAGCTTTCCTATGATTAAATCAACATCTTTCCGTATTTGTATTTTTTCAATAAACAAAGTTGTAAAGTTAAATAAATCCCCCAACGCTTTGTAAGCATTTAACAAATCTTTCGGTTGAAGATTTTGTAATACTTATTCGTATTTAGATTACAAGGGCTCAGCTAAATGGCTCGTGAAATAATTTTAAGATTAAATGGAGCGAACTAATTGTTGGCTAGCCACTTAAAAATTCATTGCACTCAATTAGGATTAAGTCTTCAAATCGTACACAACAAGATCAGGCCGTTTGGCACGCTTCAGACGCACAAACGAGTTTCGGTGGCAGCATCAATGTGTTTGCTTAAATACAAATGTTGCTTGTGTATTTTGTCAATATTTGTTAATTTCTGCGCACTTATTTGCATTTTGAAAATGCGCTTTAAGTTGAGTTTGTTTTGCTATTGAAGCTTTAAAAATATACTTGATACTCAGCAGCACATTGTGAAAGTCAGCGAAAGGGTAAATTAAATTCAGCTATCTTTTTAGTTTTACTTCTAAAGAGTGTGCTTCTAGGTATGAATTGAACTCCCTTCAGAGGATGTATTTTAAAATTTGTATTTGAGCTAATTCCATTGAACAATTCTAGACAACATATCTCAAAACCAACAATTTATAATTCTAGCTAAATAACAAAACACTTCACAAATTAAAGAATTCCAATATAGTATGTGTTCTTCCTTATCAGAAATTAAAATGTAATATACAAACTGAAACCGAATTAACCGAACCCACCAGCACTTTTCACTTTTATGAATAAGTTCCTTCCTTTAAACATTGAAGGTAATTTAAATATTTGAAATTGTTGATAGGCTTTTACATTAAGTGAGACCTCATATCTGCTTACCAGGAAGTATTTTTAGCTGTTTGCTTAACAGCTATAATTAATATTTATTTGTTGATGCTTCAGCATCAATTAAGCACTAGAAGCGTTAAATGCGCTTTATTTTTTCAATAGCATGCGAAAACGCTGCGCAGCTTGTGGCAAAAATACTTGTGGCTTTCCAAAAATGTGCAAACTTTTTCAATAATTTTCCATTACAGCGTTTTCTTTTCAAGATACTATGCCGAATTCTTTTTGGCCTCGGGCAGATTGTGCAAAATCATAAAAAATAGTTTAATGCGATTCTGTTATTCAGCAGAAAATTCTGGAAATGCCTTTATTTTAATGGCCGGCGGCAAAACATTCCGCTGCGACTGCACCACGACTATACAGATATGTATATAGTATGAGCGAACTCGGAACTGCCGCCTCGACCTACGCTCGAACTGTTCGCGCGCGAGTTTGCCGTTAAACTGATGGCAGTGCTGGGACTTGGCCTGCCATGTGGCGTAGCTGATGGCCCCAATGATGGCCTCGTGTTGGCAGACGCTTGTTGCTTTGTTGCATTTGTGAAGCAGAATCGGCTATTAGTTTGCTGGTATGACTGTAGATATAGATTAATATAAGGAAATATTGTAACACTTAATCCTAAACAAGCTTCCTTTTTTATTGTTTTTTATTCTTTTCATTTCTTCCTTTTTTTTGTTGCAAGCTATTCAAAAAATAGCTTTATGTTTTCGAAAACGAGAATCTGTTTGGCCAGTGCTGCCGTGCTGCGAACATACTGTTGTCTACTGCTATTTGGCGCATGCGCAGTGCAAGGCACACGAGTTGCTGCTTAGCTTTTTCGCTCTTTCTGTTTTCATACGCACATTCGTAAACAACGTTGGCCCCCAAGCCACGTGTGAATTACAGAGACGCTCTCACACACATACACACGTGCATAGGCATTAGCCCAACTGCAGAAAGATGAATGCGAGTACAGGAGCACCTCCCGCCGGCAATTGCCTCTCTGTTGTTGGCGCGTCTTTATGTTCTTGCATCTGTTTGTTTGTTGCTTTGAATTGGCATGTGTGTGTGTGTGTGTGTGTGTCAGTGTGAGTGTGTGCTTGTGCGAGTGCGAGTGTAGACGCGCCAAATGTGTTATTTCTTTAACACGAGGCCGCGGTACGCCCAAAATGCCTAAATAAGCAATATTAAAGCAATGCGAAATGAAAACATTTCGATGCTGCTGAACTAAAGCACCTCTCGTGGAGATTTGCTGGGAAACTATGCGCATATTTAAATATTCTCCTACACACTGAGCCCCATGAAAACAGATTAGAATGCAGAGAAGGAAGGCGAAACATTGCGTATACGCACCATGTCTATTAAATAAAAAACAGACTTCACAATTTCGAACTTGTCGATAAAAAAACATTTACAGAGCATGCTTCGTAGTTTTGTTTCCATTGAATTCCATTCTTATTCCCTAAATAAGCCAATTAGTTCTGGATATAAGCTCAAAAGAAAACTTACTCATGAATAATTTCAAAGAAATGCATTATCTTGTATTAAAATACATTTTCTATAGGAATAGAAACGTAGAGAACTTTCTTGTAAGAATCCTCAACAATGATAATATGCCAGATAGATTTTAAAAAATATCAATTCAACAAACAAATGTAAATATACAATTAATTAACAATTAAATTGCTTTTTATCATTTCCCATCGTAGGAAAAGAAGACAGCAGCTGCTATCCCTAAACTGCCAGATCAGTCATATATAATACACCTCCACAACTGCACCTTTGCACTTTTGCACACCCTTTCTGGCTTAAGCACGCGCCATGCGGCGTATACGCAACGCCGGCTCTGGGGTGGGCTTTGGCTATAATTTATGGTCCGCCCGTGCAAGCACAGACAGTGCAGGTGGCCATTGTCTTACTGAAAGCCATGTTGATGACCCACATTTAATCAGCGTTAATCGCATTCGCCCTCGTCGTGCTGTCATTATCTAAAATGGTAATTTATCTGTCATTTTAATGTAGAAAATTTTCAGACCAACGCACTCATTCCAAATATATGCAACGCCGTCACGTATACTTAACTAAAAACTGACAGCGTGACGACGCACCGCATCATTTTTGATTGATGGCGCCATGTTTGTGTTGTTGCGATAATTGCTGCTCCTGTTGGCTCGAAAATAAAACTCATTTTTTACAGGATATCCCGTTTCAGGACTGCCTCTGTTGCCTTTGCTTTTTAAGGGCCAAGCCATAATATGACCAGACAACAAATTTCGGTTTTTACAACACATATATATGTGCCTATTATGTTTCAAGCTGGCGCTGAAGGTCGGAAATTAAAATGTTTGAGCATAGTTAAGTTTATTCTCGGTAATGGTGTTGAGCCATAGACAAATAATTAATCCTGTTTTGCACAACAAGATGAGTCATTAAAAACTCTGGTTGACAATTTACTTTTAGAAATGTTTTAAATAGCATGTTTCAAAGAATTTTCCGCATCACTATTTAATCGAAGCTTTTATCAGTTTTCGAGTTCAGTATGCACTTCAACTAAGATTAAGAGCTTAATGGTGGGAAAATAGAGAATTTCTTTTTTTTTTAAATGTTACTTTTAGAAATTAGATATAGTATATGTGACGGACAATAACATATTATACTCAAATATTTATAATAATAATGTTTTTTTTTCAACCTGAATTTAAGCATTGATTAAGGGGATTAAGAAACTAACAAGGATTTTCTCGATTCGCAGTCGATTGCTACTCCATCTTCAGGTCCAAAGTGAAGATGATTTTCAAATTAATTGGTATATTTTTAAATGCAACATAATCGTATCTATAGTATTTTTCTGAAAACTAACGCAAAAAGTTGCCATTAGCAGCAAAATGCTTTCGTAGTACGATCACAATTGAGACGGCAGTATACCCTATATTTGTAATAAGCGAAACCATTTGACTGTTTGTGTGCAGAGTGTAAAAACGTCCTAATGCATGCCTACAGATGCAAATTTGTGAAAAAGCCCTGAAACCGATGCGATGAAATTTTCAGCATAACTTTTGATTTAATTGAGGCACTTTATGCATGAGTGTTTTCTAGCAATTAGTGGCCGATTTTTTTCCCAGACATGTCCAACACCCCATCCGCCGACGCGTCGTTCAGTTGGCCGTTGCTACGAACACATACGAGTATACCCTGTTTTCAATGGCACATGGCCAGATTATTCCGTTGTAAATGCTTGTGCAGGCAGAAGTGCTTCGACAGAGATATCCCATGGATGTATTCGTTGTAACAAGCTGGGCATAAGCCAAAAGAGGAAAAGCATTTACATATAGTATATAGCCATTTATAACAAGAAAGGAATGCTAAAGTCGAGCAGGCTCAACTCTTAAATACCCTGTACCACCCCACGAAAAAGTAATTAAATTAATTATTTAATTTAATTAATTAACTAAATTAATGTAATTAATTAACTAAATTAAATATAAAATATTCCATGCATGCATACATACATTTACATTTACATCAGAATCGTGCCTTATGCGTGTTTGTGTACTTGTACATATGTATGTACTATGTGTGCATTGGGCCTGGTTATATGGTTCTTTCCGATCATTCTATCATAATAAAACTTGGTATACGGATATATAATTACTAACCTAATGTGACTACCAAATTTTAGTTCAAAATTCCAAGAATTACGGGAGTTATAGAAAATCGGTAATAGGGGGGGAGTGGGGAGGTGGATCAGAAAAAATGAACAAACTCGTCCTTTCTCGGTCTCAGGAGAATCTGTTTACCAAGTTTGGTTATACTGGTTATACTTATACTTTCGGAGATCCTTGCGTTCATACAGACAGACAGACAGACGGACAGACGGACATGGCTATATCGACTCGGCTTGTCATGCTGATCAAGAATATATATACTTTGTGGGGTCTACCAAGCCTCCTTCTGTGTGTTCCATGTGCACTCGCACAAAACTAATATACCCTTGTACCCTTTGGGTACAGGGTATAAAAACACAAGCGGAAAAGTACCCCCCTCGCGAATTTGGAAAATTGAATTCTGTGTAGAACTTTTTCAAACATCCTCAACAATAGTATTTATATGCATAAATCAGAGGCAAAAATAGATCACACTTTTATGCAATTGCTTTAATGATATTGGCCTATTCTGTGTGGTCGAGTGTTCGACCTTTCAAAATGTCAGCTCCAACTTTATTAAATATTAATAAATAGGAACAAAAATTCTGTATGATTGGAAGTCACATCCTGAGCTGTCCTCAGATATGGATTCGAATGTACATAGAAGCACCTTTACCGTCTACCCAGCTCATCTTAAGTAGTACGTAGTTGCCAGCCATAAAATGCAATCAGTCTGCTGGGCTCTGGTGTCATTTTGAACTTTCAGGTGCGCAACTTTAATTTATGGCCAATAAAAAGCAAACATAAGTTTAATAAAGCTGAAACTTTATTAAAATATGCGTCGGCTGCTATTGTTGCTGTTTCATTAGCGTAAGCAAAATTTCCATAAAGCAAAAAGTTTTCTGTTGCCTACATTAGACAGCTGCTGGTCGTAAAACTGTACAGATCTGACTCAACACGAGTATATACTTTTATATATGTATATATAGACGAACTTGTGTCGCTTATTAGGCAGCTGAAGAAAACAAAAAAAAAAAAAACAAGCACAAAGGAAAAAAATACTGTAAGAAATGAAGCAGCAAATCGACTACAAAACGAAGACCAGAAAGTCAAACTTTTTGCCATGCACGTTGGAGTGCGTGTGCCGTGGAGGGTGTGTGTGTGTGTGTGCGTGTGTGTGTGTGTGTGTGTGAAATATGAGGGTAGCGCCTTATGGTGCAGTTAATTTTTCAGCGCGAGCACACAAACCTTTGGGGAGCGCATTAGCCCTGTCGGGTGGCTGGTCGGTCGTCTTCCCTGTCTGTCTTGCCCGGCACATGTTAATTATGCGTCTACGTGACTTTTTTAACTGTCGCCCGGATTGCGACTTGTTGCCACGAGTAATGCGGCTTCGGTCAAATGAACGCTGAGCTTGTAAATCACATTTATGCCAGCCACACGCAGATACTGCATCCATAT